TACAGAAATGCACGAGTTTTGGATCCCGCGGAGCGCGTGTAATGGGACTTTTGTCAGGAGAATTCTACAACTTAGAAGAAACATACACACTTTAAACTTTGTATACACATTCAGAAGACATGAGATTTGGGTTTGCTCAATTTTCAAACCAAAAAACTGAAAATCGTCAATTTTAGGCAACTTTTCTCAAAAACCGTGTTTTTTGGTCGTCACTCAATGAACAGTGGTCAAAAAATAGATAAAATATTTTTGCAGAATTTTCCGTAATGTAATCGTATTTTAGACATAATAGAGTATTAAAAAAAAAGTTTTGAGTCATTGGGTGCATTTTTGGCATTTTTGTGCCACTTCAAACTTTCGAAAAAAAATTTAGTTTTTTTTTTAGGAAAAAAAATTTGTTAAATTGTTTGATATCTTGGCCAATTATAATCCGATTTCGGTAAAATTCACACACGTAAAGGATTTCATATTTAAAAGTAAGCTCTGTAAGTGGCATTAAACAAATTTAAATATTTTGGCCGTTATAGGCAAACAATGAAATTAGGCTTGCGGTACACTTTGCCCTTCCGCCATATGCTCAATTTTGGGATTTCTCTTGCCCCCTTCCATACCGAGAGAACGGTGCATCCGATCAAAATTTTTCAAGGGACATAAAAATTAGCATTTTTTTTAAGCTTTCAAATGTCGTAAACTGCGTTTTAAAAATAATGATTTATTTGCGACCTGCGCATGCGCAAAATTGAAAAATTGACAAAATCCAAAATTTCGGCACTTTCGAAAAACTGCTACATTTTGTTTTGCCTTTTTTCGAAAAGATCACCTCAAAATACATAGAATCCATTTTGTTTCATCTAATTACAATTTAATTTAATGTAAGCTCAAAACCGGTAATTTAATTCGATTATAAGGAACTGATAAGTTATATTTACATGGGTAAATGGCCACAGTGGTATTTATGGAAACAAAAAAGCAGTTGTGGCAGCCAAAGAAGCGAGAATTTGTACTAATTTTGATAATATTCCTTGTTGTAGTGATTTATTTTGTGGTTATAAACAATTATAATCAAAAAATATACGGGAGAAATGGTCAAAGATAGCCATAAATTCGACTAACTCCAATTCTCTAATCCATAAGGATTTACCAAAACCGGTTCCTTATATTATATTATTTCTATGTAATGCTTCAAAAAAATACTTATCTATCATCACACGACTTAAGATCAACCATGAATGTTTCTTGTCCCATTTGCATAACATAGGAATAATGGAGTCGTCTATTTGTCAACATCATAATGAAATTGCTGATTTTAATGTTAGATGAAGAGTTACTATTATTATTGTTTGTTGGACCCCAATTTTTTAATTCTAAATTATTTTTATAGAATCCTAAAGATTTAGGCAGCATATCATTCAAATGGGTGATAAAGCACTTTCTAGAGATGTTGCTGTTTGCGAGCTACACTTTAAAGAAGATATTTCCAAATATTATTTCTACTGATAGCACTGTTAGCAAAATAAAAAGTGGAAATTCAATATTAGGGGATGAGGCAATACCATGTATATTCCCGAATCTCTCTTTATACTTGTATTATAACAATATAGGAAACTCAAATTTTTTGCTCACTGCATATTACTTACAGTTGGGTATAAAACACATGACTATTCTGCAGAAGCCATAGATAGTGGAACAAAAAAGAAAATATAAATTACAGCCGTAAAACTAAATTATTTTTGTATAAAATTAAAACTTCAAAAATACTTTTATGCTTAAAATAATAGTAAATATTTTACCTTGGAGACGTATCTTGGTAACAATCGTTGAACTGACACGCATACTTCAGATTTATTAAAGTCGCAGTTTTATTTAAACAGTTTTTAAACAAACCAATTTAAATTGTCTTATGGAGATTTAAAAATCGAGTTATAAATGTAGTTTGATTGTTAACATCGAGATAGAATCAGATAGATTGAAGTAGAAGCGATATAAGCACTATTTTGCGATATGACTTTAAGTCGTAATTTAAATATTTTGAAGTTAATAATCCTATAATTAAAAATTGACGAAATGAAAATGTTTTTATATCTTTTACGCTATTTCAAAAAAATGGTATTTTCACCAAAACTGACGTAAAAATGTTAATGCAAAAGTGTGGACACTTTTAGAATCGTCATAGCATCTCCTCTTTAATCTATATCAATGATTGAAAAGATTCGTACATCTTGTCCTATTTTGTGAAGTCACGCCTTCATTGTGTGCGATGCACAAAATAACGAGATTGAGGTGATGTTAAGCAGGCACATTATTTGTTTCACGGATCTGTTGACGTGTTGACCACTCTTTTTAGTTACAAGCTTTCGCTAAAACCTCTCGTAACCTCGCGCTCATTCAGAATAGTGCACCATAGAGACGCGATTAGCCAGAGCGCAGTGGCGTATCAAAAAATAGAAATAAACACGTATGAAAGCAATAAAATTATTAAAATTGAATTTATATTTTTATG